TGGAAAATGTTGAGAAAACTTTCTGATTGATTTATATTTTTCGGACCATCTCTCTCACACAATCGTGATAGGTTTGGATCGTAGTTTCGACGAGTAGTCGATTCTCTGAAAAACGTTATAACATCCTTAACAGTGGCGACAGTATTTCTAATTTCTGGCACTGCGTTCGCATCATTCACAACAAGGTTGAGTTTGTGACTTGAGCAATGAAAATATAATGCTCGAGGATTTTTTTTTCTCAAAATGGCTTGTACGCCACCCTCTTTCCCTGCCATTGTATAACAGCCATCGAATCCAAACCCTACGCAATCTTCTGTTGGAAAGTTAGAACTAATCAAGAAATTGTCAATTGCTGTTTCATCAGCTAAGACTGCGTAAGCCATGGTCTTCTGAACGTCACTTATTATATTCTCCTTAATAACTTCGCCACATAAATTAATCAATACGTTTTGTATTTTTGGCGATGTGTAAACTGCATTGCGACGGCACTTTTCCAGGTGACACTGTAATTTGTCGTCCCCTGAATTGATTCTCAACTTTAATAAATCTAATAAAACGCCCTCATCTGCTTGTTTTCCCCTAAGAGGCATATCATGTGTACCGCAAAATACTACACAAGAAATAATTGATGACAATATTTGTCTGTTTTCATCGATTGCTTTTTGGTGTCCACTTTGCATTTGGATGTCTACAGGAACATTTTCAAGAAAATTTTTTGCAGCATTTGTCGCTGTTAGGTGAAGGTTGGTCGTTGCATGCTTTCGGCAGTCTTCATGCATATTTTTGAACTCTATATATGGCCTGACCATAAATGATCCCAAAATTCCTCTCACAGTGCTGATGGGCGGAGGGAACAAAACACAATGCTTACAAAGAGCGCCTTTTAGTCGCTTGGAATATACTAGCCATGGTGCATATTGATCCAACCAAGCATTATTAAATATCCTTTTCAAATAGCTTGCATCACTTTCAAAATCATAATTTCTGGGCGGGATCCAAGGATGTTGTAACAACTCCCTTTTCTTTTCCGTCGATAGCTGAGTAGCCAACCCAACATAACGACCCAGATCATTTTCATGATAGCCATCGTCCACTATAATTTCAGGATCGACGTTGACGTCATTAGTTTGCTGGGATGTCGATGGAGAAGAATAATCGGCAACAGATATATTTACAGGTTCTGCTGGAGAATGTGACGCTTGTCCAATGTTAGCATGCAATGATCTTGGCATTACATGGGTTTTATCATGATTGTCATTTTCATCGCTTCCTCCACTGCTACTATCCCGACCTTTTTCTTTTTTCCCGTGTTGTCCCTAAAAAAAGGATACACAAACATAATTACTTTTACGGTGTTTAGGCATAGAACGAAAAAAAAAATATGTACCACGTTTTTAAAGCGGACTAAACAGTATAAAATAATATTTTCTAATGCCGTATAAATTGATCTAAGCATTTTAAATTATAATTAAGCATAAAAAGTAGCAGTCAATGAGAAAGCTCTTCTAACATGAGATTTCTCAACGACTGGTACTTTTTACACTTTTTATCATTACCTATCTTATTTTTTTTTTCTTGCACCCCAAAACAGCTTTTTAGTCATAAAAAATGTGTATTTTTTTTAAACTTTCAAACAAACAAACAAGCGAATAAACAGACAGACAAGAAAACAATCTAATTTTGTATTGTCATCCACTTCTGACAAAATTTCAAGTCTCTAGCTCATCGGGAAGTTAGTTTAAAATTAATTGAAAGATTTGTACCGAACAGAAAAATAGACAAGAAAACAATCTATATTGTATTGTCATCCACTTCTGACCTACAGTCAAAATTTCAAGTCTCTAGCTCATCCGGAGATCGGGAAGTTAGTTTAAAATCAATTGCCAGATTTGTACCGAACAGACAAACAGACAAGAGACGGACCTAATAAAAACGTGGTAATAAATAAAGATTAAGATACCTATAAAAACATCACATTCAAATATCAATTACTTCCTATACATTACAAGAGAGCCCCCCTTAAACAAATCAAATAATCATATTAGGTACATACATATGTGTTTTGTTCATCAAAATATCTGACTGAAAAGATGTTTTGTACTAAAAGCTCTGTCACGTCTCTTCATCGCAATGCGGACCAGTGGAGTCATCCAAGGTGCAGGAGGTCTTTTAACTCTCACTGTGCGAATTGGTGCATGTTTATTGAAAAATGATAATAAGAATCCATTAAAAGCATTTTTTGCTACAGATAAGACAGTTTTTGCTACAGATAAGACACAGGACCAATCAATGGTCGATGCATCCCGAGATAACAACTCAGGGTCCAGGCGAGCAAAGTTCCGCATTTTTACTAACTCAGGGACAGGCTTGGCACACATTAACATTGTTTTGCTCAGCCCAAAACATCCATCTTTTCCATGCAGGTTTATAGGTGTTTAAGGTGGATTTACGCCAGCTTGATGAAAGTAATAGTTTCTGATTTTCAGACCAATCACTTAAAATAAAATGCCACCCCCACATCGCCAAATTTCGATCTGCATCATTCCGATCTCTGGAGGTGGTCGGCCCGTTGATGTATCCACCAGTACTTGGGGCAGGTTGCGTACTGTGAAGGGGGCTGACAACGCTCTGCGCTTGAGATCTGGCCTCCAGTATACTTTGTCCCACCGAGGTACTGCTAGGAGGAAAGTGCCTTGGGCTTTGTTTAGATGCGCTAGAACTTTGGGTATCAGATGTGGTGGAGGGAATACCCAGGCTAATGGGTAATTCCAATTCCTTCCTAGCGCGTCGTGGAAAACAGCTTGTCTGTCTGATTGATCTAGGGTGCAGTAGTTTGTTACAACATGTGCAGTTGCAGAAGCAAAAAGATCGATGACTGGTACGCCCCATTTTGCAAATACAACCGTCATTACTTTCAGAAGGAGATGCCACTCCGGTGTTGATTTCGAACGAGACAGGTGATCTGCATCCGAGTTGAACATGCCCGGGATGTAATAAATTGATAGGTGAATTTTGTATTCGTCCAGTATTTTGAAGATTCGAGTCGTTACTTCCGTAAGAAGCCGAGATTTCGTTCCACCTTCGTTTCGAAGATAGGCTACGACGGTCTTGTTGTCGCACTGTATCTGTAGTCCCTTTGAGTTCAGGAGCAGATAGCGATCTTCTAAAACTCTTAGAATGGCGATCATCTCTTTGATGATGACATTTTACAGTGTAACATGAGTTCCGAAATCTCCCATTGGCCGGTTAGGCTTTCGTTGTCCAATTTTGCTCCTCAGCCCAGATCGCTCGCATCCGTCGTTAGATAATGCGTTGGAGGGGGTCTGTGGATTGGAGAAGATTTCCTGCAGTGATTTAGCCACCATTCCAACTCTGTTCGAGCAGTCTTTGGTAATTGAATTGCTTTTACTGTTCCCGTCTTGAGAAGTGAATTCACTTAAAACTGCAACTCTCGAAAATTCAATCGTCCTCTCGGGACTGGAAAACTGGCAAAGTTCAATATTCCGACAATTTTCTGCAGCTCTGGGAGTCTTACTTTTTTCTTGCTTAGAATTGCAGCAACTTGTCTTTCTATTTTTGCTGCTAATCTGTTCGGTAAGTACTTTATGTTCCTTATAGAATCCCACATAATGCCGTGGAATTCTAGAACATTTTGTGATTCGTAAACGGATTTTTCCTCGTTTATTATCCACCCTAGGTACTTCAAGAGACTTGTTGCCAATGACACGTGCTCGCGCAATGTTTTTATGTCTTGATTTACAAGATAAAAGTCGTCGAGATAGATTAGAAGCCGTACCCCCCTTTCTCTGAGTTGCTGAGCTATCCCATTTGATAGCGATGCGAAAGTTTTCGGGGCGGAACTGAGGCCAAAAGGTAAGGCTGTCATTTCGTACAGTTTTCCTCTGTAAATCAGGCGGAGAAACCTTCTGTGGCTGGGAGCGACGCTCACGTGAAAATACGCCTGATGTAAATCTATTTTTGCCATCCAGTCGCCATCTTGCAGGAAGTCTGGTACTCTGTGCACGTTCACGAGACGAAATTTGTCTGCACGAACGTACTTGTTTAGTTGTTTTAGATTGAAAACCGGTCTTAAACTTCCGTCGCTTTTGGGTCTTAGGAATAACGTCGAGACGAAACTTGGCGTGTTTGCAGTTGGTACGATTATGTATTGATCGAGTAATTTCTGAATAATTTGATCCATGTCTGGCGACTGAGCCGTGTGACTGCTGCAGTATTTTGGCAGGCATAAAGGTGGTTTTGCCTTGAAAGGAATATGATAACCGGTTATTATATTTAGGATGTTGGGCGGTGCCCCAAGATCCTTCCAGTGGTGGATGTATTTCTGCAATAGACCGGCCCGAAAAGGCATGACGTAGTCAGTACTTCTTCCTGGGTTGAACTCTCCTATCCCGTTGGGATAAGGGAGAGCGTGCTCGACCTTCTCGCTGTGATCCCCCCCCCCTCGAGTTGTCTGAAAGTTACCGTGACGTCCACGAGGCCCGTTATTATTGCTTAATCGGTTTCCTTGTGTGGGTTGAGACCGTGGCTTCTGAACCCTCTGATGATTAGCAGTAGGTCGAGATGAGCCCGGGGCTGTAGTTTCGATTCGCTGAGTTGCAAAATGGCGGTCTTTTTGTTTAGACCAAAATACATTCTTCATTCCTCCCGCTTTTTCAATAGCGGTGCTAAACTTTTCACTGTCAAATAGATTGGAACAGGATGGTGGGATTTTACGTAACGCACTCTTATGATAAGCATCCTTTACTGATGCCAGGATAGTCTCCCTTCTATATTGCACAAGTTCAGCTCTGTGCCCGCACACTAATTTATATTAAAATTACTTTGTTACTAAAGTTATATTAAAATCTGTGTTGCTCTCCGTAGACCCATCAGGCTGAGAGGCTTCCGTTTGCTCAAATAAATCGCCACTAATATTAGAGTCGATGCAAGACTCAGCATATTCGTAATTATCAGTTTTAAACAAGATTTATTCAACTGACTTTTTAGGTTATGAATTTCATTGATTAAATAATCAAACTTACGGTTTCGCCTGCTATGCTTACGATTTTTCTGCCGGCGGCAGCCCAATGAAGAAGACGAAGACGTAGAACTGCTACTGGAACTATCCGAACTGGATGACCTTGCTCTTTTTCTTTTCCTCTCCTTCCGTTCTGTATTTTCCATGCTCGCCTCCTCCCTTCCTGTCAAATCCTTGCTAGTAGATGGTTGACTTTCCATACCTTCAAACATATATATCAATTTAAGTCCATATTTAGTATAGATTATAAAGCACACATAATAGTAAAGGTAGGTATCAAAAGTCGGTATTATATTTATATAATCACGATTATTATTTAAAATATAAAAAGAAAATATTTAAAAACGTTCGTAAATCAGTAACGGAAAGTAAAAGGAATGTTTTTCTTATAATACACGCTATCTTACATGAAAAAATGACATATTTTACCTTTACGGCACAACACATTAATTATGTAAAATTGAAAGGAGTTTTCTTCCTATTTTTAATCGGAATCGAACGATAACACCGTTAAAAATTCGCATAACCTTTACAAAAGGTTTTTAGAAGAAATCTTATAGGAGCAAAGGAAAAAATATTTTACTTTACCTTCGTTGCACACTTACTAAATTAATGTCGAAAAAGCAATTTCGAATATAAGAATACACTTTTTCACAGAACTCTTACACTTTACACTTTGCACTAATGGTTTTCTTGTCCTTTCCGTTCGGAAATCCCGATGCTAATGACGAACAAATTAGGCACCCACAAACGCCTTGCTGATACAGGGGTGGGAAATGGCGCGAACCGGAAGTGAACGCTGATTGGACGAAGCTAGCCAATCATGGCGGCGTTGTACACGATTTAAGACCGGAAATCAAGTATGCTACTCTCATGTATTTATTAGGCTTCGAATAACGGTACAGTACTGTTTAATATTGAGCTTAAATCTTATTCTAATGAGATCTATATCTTTCTAATGAGATCCATAAGAAGGAACACATTAAGTATTTATTTATCTATTTATTATAAATTTTTTTAGTTACTTATTTTTATACCTATAAAAGATTTAAATCGTGTTATTAATACATAGGTATCTCAAAATTTGTTCTTTTTAGCATGCTATGGCTTCTTACAAAATAATCAACATAATATATGTCGCCTTTAAATTATTATAGTTTTATAAACAATCAACAATTTCAACTTATATTATTATTCTTCACTAACAAAAACCTTAAAAATTTAGTACATTATAAATGGCACTATTTTTCAATCTTTATTAAGTTGTTCTCACTATCTTTAAGAACATATTTTGCATTCGTCTTCTGGATAGTGATCGTAAATAAGCGCATCACAATAATCACACCAACATTCTAAACGACATAACAGCATCTGTAAGTCGTTTACATTCATTAATAAGGTAAAGTGAAACGGTCGAATACCCGTAGCACTGATTGGTGTTACATTTACATGGCATTTCCCACACAGAGGAAAGGATAAAATGTGTCTCAGCCCACGGCCACTTTAAATTGTAGTAATAATACTGCAGCAAATCATATTTTGTTAAAACTTTATCTATATCCACAACAACCACCATCTTTTTAGTAGTTATGACTCTAATTTGTCTCAATATCGTTTGAAGGAGATATCAATCTGTAAAAAAAAAGCTAATATTACTAAAATAAAATAATTTAGGAACCTTAGGTCAAGGCAGCGGACGGGACATTAAACGTAATTGAAAATATAATTTAATCTAAAACAGAAGTCAAGCGCAACTACCTTCACTATTTTGAAAGCATTTATCACAAATATAATCAAAATAACTGGGACCGCCGCCGACGCAATCTTCGCAGTAGAATTGTTTACATCCCATACATTTAGCTACCTGGCTGAGTATTGTACATCTGCATAAATTGCAATTTTGAAACTTCATGTTTCTCTTAGATGAACTAAATTTTGGCGTAATGTGTACGTTATTTTGCTTAGAACTAGGACCAGGAGAGGTTGGCAAAATAATTAGGGGTAATTTGTCGATATCCAGTGCTGAATCTAGCATACTGTTCGGATTCGAACTGTCCATAAAATCTTTTTTCCCTTCTTCCTTATCAACTGTATCGAATAAGGCGGTCTCTTCTGTTAGAATAGAACATGAAGGTGTGGGTGATGGAAGCTCAAGTTCAATTAAATCATGTAATAAGTCAGCCTCATCCAACTCTGCACAGTATGGAAGTGGTTGTATTGGACCGTTGCTTGATTGTAGATAGTGTTCACCAAGAGAAAAACAAGAACACTTTCCTCTTAGCGGTTCGCAAAAACAACTGACATCTCTGTATTTAATTTTATGTTTGTCTGTCTGTGTGTCTGAAATGATTTGGTGTACTTTCATGGTACCGGGCAACCCACGTATATTGTCAGAAATTTTATTTGGAATTCTCTTTATAACTTCTTCCTCAATAAGGTGAACTTGTATAATAGTTTCAGATTTTTTAATTGCCTCGTATGCATCTCTAGTATTTTTTATGTCGGCGCTATGACATACTTTCATATCTAACATACGTTTTATGGTGCCACCTATTCCATCTGCCACGCTTTTGCCATGACCAGTTTCCAAAAATGACCACGTTGAGTAAGAAAGATTAAGTTGTCTGGTAAATAGGGAATGTAAAAAAAGTTGTATTTCTGTCGATACTGAGAGGTTGGACCGTCCGAATATTAATGGATAACATCTTCGTCTGGGCACATCTCTTTAACTGTACCTAAAATAGGAGACAAGTGGGCCCATATTGCAGGAGGTTGGTGAGTGAGATTGTCAGATATCATGTAAAAAGATTGTGATCTATTTTTCAAATAAATCATGCCAGTATGGAGACTGATTTGAGATTTTGAGGCACCAAAATGCATAGATTGTATTTCTTCCGTTAGTTTACTCTGATAATTTTCTAAAAAATCACAAATTATAACGGCCTCAGTAGCTTTCATATTAGTGACCGCTTTTTGATATTGTTTTTGTTGGTGAATATTATTATAATGATGTTTTTTAAAAGCAATAATATCGTGGCTCAAATCATCCATCAATTTTTGCGCTGTGTCAGTCTTCGTTACTCGAACAGTCTTTTTTGTGTGAACTGTGGTTCCACCCTTTTTTGTGTATACATGGTCTTGGCGTTCCCACTGGTTCCAATTAACCGTCTGTAGTGTGTCTTGATCTGCCGCATATTGTGGTGTTTTGTTTTTGCATTTCTCACATTTGTTGTACATACATTCAAGGTTTTTGGTGTCACATACTAATTCTTGCAATAATTTGTCGAAATCTTCGTTTATAATATGACGTCTCCTTAAACTCTCGTATTGAAATTTGATATTATCATGTTTTTCGCACAGACAAGTTGACCTTGATTGGATATGAGGAGATAAAACAAAGAAAGGCTTATTTTTGTAAAAAGTAGTAATGCCATAACGCCCTCCCTCTGCTCTATATTTTTTATGAAGATTTGGAGTACTATCAATAAGATACCTAATTTGTTGTTTGTTTTTATTCTTTACTCTGCATTCTTTTTTACCTGATGTTATTCTACTAACCACGTCTCTTACGAAGATAGCTTTTATTTCTGGAATCTCTATCTTTTTTGCCTTCTTTGGTTTAAGCCTTGCTGTCATTTTCAATCCAAGCACTTTAGAAGTATATTGCTTATTTTTCGAATTGTGAACCACTTTTTTCAACAACTGTTTTTCTGAATGTTTCGTACATCTTGAGAAACTGGTTTTTATTGCGCTCTCTAATACTTCATTTTGGGCTTTAATAAAATCTAGTGCTTTTTGTAAGGAAGCTATGGATTTACTGAATTGTTGTTGTAATCTCTGAATTCTTTTTTTGTAACATTCAGTTTTAGTTTTCATCTTTTTAATTAAAGCTTTATTATTTAGGTTTTGTTTTTGACACAGTTGAAGTTTCTTTTTTAAGTTTTTAATTTTATTTTCCTGTGTTCTCTTTTCTTGTTCTGTTGTTATGTTTTCAGACACAGGCATAGGCGATGGTCTATTAATATTATGTTGACGTTGTCTGCTTATCCTTTTTTCTTCTCTCCACTCTTTTCGTTTTGATTCTGCTTCAGCTTGTGTCATTTCTGCAATTTTTTCTTTTTTGATTTAATTCTTGCTAAGTTCTTTTTTCGCTGTTCCTCATACTTCTCTGGATTTTCATTTTTTAACCTCTCCCTATACCTACGCATCTTTTCTTTAGCTGTTAATGGCATATTTCTGAAAAAAAAATAACACAAAAATACCGATTGGAAACACCAATATTTTAAATCATACTATCTACCTACCCACAATAAAATACAACCAACTATGTAGTTTCCATTAATCTTAGCAAGATGTTTTAAATAATTTTTGAATGTAGTTGGTACCTATCTAATTCTCAGTTAAAACCGCTGTCTAAACTTAGCTTTATGCTGTCGGTTTTGTTACTCTTTCGGTCCAACTATATGTTACAGCACCTACATTAACCAAACCGAAGTAACATAATGTGTTAACCTAATCATAAAAAATAAACTTTAGCCGTTTATTTTCTCGCTAAGTTAAACGATTTACAACAAGTGGTTCAGTATAAAACTATGCATTTTTTGTTAATTTATTGTAAGGAACGTGCGGATCAGTAATTAATTGCGTTAGTACAAACCTGACGACGAATTTCTTCTCAGTCCAATCGGTAACATAACACACTCTCACTAGCGACGAAATGACACTGGCGTTCAATTTTAAGATGGCCGATCTTTAGGCTATTAGTGTTGCCATATATTTGCAAAACAAAAAAAAGCATTTGGTAGGTTTTTTTTAAAGAAATTGGCGTAACAAACCTGACTTGTCCGGAAGTCACAAATTTCGGGGACACGAATTGTTTTTAGTTTTAAATAGATAAAGGGAATTACAAGCATTATTAATTATTTTAAATATAATAATACAAGTTTAGTTTGTGTTTAAACAACAAAACATATCCAGGTGTTCCACAAAATATTGATAAAGCTGGAACTTAAAGATTTCATTTATTACTGGGGACACGCCAAAATGAAGGCGGGTATTTAATTAAAATAACTTACATATATTTAATTTTAACTGGATTTCATTGGAATTTAGTTAAAAACGTTGTAAAAAGGGTAAATTTTCAATTAAGAGGCTATTTTAACCTAATTAAGCAGAGAAACTCCTAAGAAAAAATAAAAAACTTAAAGGACATGCCAAAATGACAGTTGTGCTAAATTTTTGAATCTCATAAATAAATAAAAAAAAATATTTCTTTTTGGCGTTCACATGTACATACGTCGTTTGCATGTCAAGTTGTGACTAAAGCGATTAGGGTCGTGGACCACAATTTATGCGGATCACTTTTGTGAGGCTAGTGCCGTATTTACCCTTTTTGTTTTAATCTAAGACTACATACAAGTCTTCAAGAATCGTTAAGAAAAAATTTGATTTTCCAAAGTCGGGTGCTAGGTTCACACAGCTGAAATCAAATAGTTTGCGAGTGCGAAAGGTCATTGTCAAACGTATACTGATTGTAAGTTCTCGATACGTCCGTTATGGCGCTGCTGTTCAAGTTTTCATACAAAATTTAACAATGACATTTCGCACTCGCATACTATTCGAATTCGATATTGGTTGATGCCAGGGGTACAGATTGTTGCACACTACATTAAGATATATCAGATCACTTAGGTCAGGGGATGGCGCTGCTGCAGAGCATCACACCGATTATGTACCGGATATAATATTTGGGAAAACAAAACAAAAAAAAGTGTTACTCAATCAATTTTATTCAGCTTCAAATAAAATAAAAATAGATACTGTTATTAAATATTTGTATTTCGGCCAAATAAGTTTTTAAGAAAATTTAAAATTAAGGCACATTGGCCAATTTAAAAGATAAAATAAAAAGCTTTATTATGTAAAAAATGTTACATTAACATTAAAATACTGGGTTAAAGTACCTAGCTTTTATTGAGGTTAGGGTGTACGTTAAAACTCGCGTAGTCCAACAAAGTAATAGTAGGGTTAATAGACTTAGGTAATTTTTTGTCATGTCAAAAAATGGTACTACCTAGGAAATTATTTTGAAAATATAAGCTAGCGAATTCTCACCGCATGCGCCCGCGCATCTGTCTAACCTACTTTTACGCGTGTTTTAGCGTATGACCTTGAAAGTTAAATAAACTATATGTATTTAAGATTCATCATCACTGCCAGCTTGCTGTTTAGGTTTAGGTCCACCTGCTCTCTTTGCCATTATAATTTGATCAACCTTCAAAATTGTTGTAGCTGCACCAACAGCATACTTAAGACCCCAACTCTTTAGGAGGTATAAATCGAGAATTCCTTTTTCATTTGCATCAATGACACCATTGTTTTCTGAATCAATGTCATATCCAGTATTCTTATTACCATCCTGTAATAAATAAATGAAAAATATTATTTGTAACAGTATTAATTTGACATTGTGGGTTACCCTACAATGCGAAGAGATGGCGTTGCCTTGCAGCTTAAGAAATACTAGAGAAAATTCGACACGGACAATAAGGGCAGTGGTAGTATAATTGTCAGTGCATCCGCCCAGATAGAGGAACTATCTTGAAACATAATTTAAGGTTACCTTGTGTGCTTTATAGATGTTTTTGATAACTTCTGTGGCATTGGCACCTGAGTTGTCTGCCAGTGCCCGAGGAATGCTTTCCAAAGCAACTGCAAATTTCCTTACAGCATACTGTTCAAGTCCTGGTAATTTATCAGCATACTCAAGAAGTCGCTGTGCCAATTCAATCTCTGTTGCTCCAGCACCAGGCACAAATCTAAGGAGAGATTTTTTTTGATAAACAATTCAAAACATAGAATAAATGCTATTCAATCTTTCTGTTAAATACAACATACTAGAGGATAATTTAGACATTTAATTATTCACAGTAAAATAATCTCACCGTCCATCTCTGGAAATACTCTTGAAGGTATTAACACCATCATCAATAGCTCTTTCAATATCATCCATATAGTTGTCTGTCGATCCTCTAATAACTACAGTGGAGATACGGGATTCAACACTCTCCATTCGGAATACTACAACTCTGGTATCTCCTAGCTCCTCCACTTTTACAGTGTCACAGTAACCAAGCTCTTGAGATGTTGGAGTAGTTAGTCTGGGCAGCACCTAAGTAAATAAAGTATTAAGGATGCATGAAATATAATAGAAAATGTGTGCAGCTCCAGCCATCCTTGCTTTGCTTAACTGAAACTAATTCCCTAACTAAGGAACCTAATTTACCAACTGATTACAATAGTGTTTCAACTCAAGTGGTTTTAACACATTGCCCTGCCACTTAATGTAGAAAAAAATATTAATAAACTTTGTTCTTTATACTAGTTAAAATGTATGTAAAAATATTATTAAATTACTAACTGTTGCATTAACTGTTCTGGCGAGACGGCGAAGATCAAACTTTGAATTCAAACGGACTGCCATAATCTCATATTTATTCAAGAAATGTAATGCCATGTCTCCAAATTTGGCTCCAGCAACTATAACTTTAACACCAGCATCAGCTATTTCTTTAATCTGTTTTTCCAGAAGAGATTCTTCTCCCCTACTAAAATTCAGGAGCTCATCTGCAGTCTTGATGAGAACTGTGCCTTTAGTTTCTGTTTGAGTAATATCAACTTGACAGGAATAAACTGCCACTTTAGCTTGGCTTACAGCTGTGATGTCTCCTTCTACTTCACGCTTAAATACCATGCCTGATAGTACTTCAGATTGCAAAAGACCAGCACCCAGAATCTGAGAAAATTATAAGAATTATTTTAATAATGGTCTGGTATAGAATAATATATAATGGTAAATTTAAATAATGTATTATATTACAGTTGTAAACAGAGTAAACACAGATAATGGTTAATTTACAGCAATAAAATTATAAAAATACTATGTTTAATAACCACATACCTTGCATATTCTCACATTGTCAACATTGAAAGTAGTTTTTTCAGGCAATATGGCCACACATGCCTTGGCTACTAGTTCAGCAATAAAATCTTCATTTCCATACTGCTTAGACATAATGGAAGGTCTGATACCTTTGACAACGGCTGGTATATCTTTATAATCACTAATTGTGTGACAGATAAGTTCAGGAAGAATTTCCAAACACTTATCCATGGCTTTCTCATATCCTTCAGCAATTTCACTCGTGGTTACACCCAAGCGGAGCAATTCTTCAGCAGCTTCCAAGAGAGCGCCTGATAGCACAATTACAAAGTTTGTACCATCACCCACTTCAGCATCTTGCATCTGGCTTCCAAGAACCATCAACTTAGCTGCAGGGTGCTCTACGTCCAATTCTCGTATGATAGTGCCTGCATCACTAGTGATAAACTGTTTGTCTATGTGATTAATAATCATTTTGTTCATACCATTTGGGCCATAGGCAGAACGTACACTTTGTGCAAATTGTTTGCAAGCATTAATATTTCTGTAAACAGCTTCCTCCAATCCAGAGAACATCTAAAATAATAAAATTATAACTAATAAGAGTGATAAGAGTTCATAGCGTCCTTAGTGTATGCCAATTGATAATTTTGATTGTACACTTCAATTTGTGATCTAACTCGATATATTAAATATTTGTCTTATTTAGTCTTAATATATATTGATTACGTCAAAAGATAAGTAAAATAAGGGCCTAAATACGAAAAATTTTTAACATTTGTTTCACACATTGCACATGACCGGTCGGTACCGTAATTCAATATTCTGATAAAAAACTTACTCTTGCACCATCTTTCATCATTTGGGGTACCCCCGGAGCTTTCGGTACGTGAAGAGCCATTTTCAGTTGAGTTTTGGAGACTAAACTGTATAAATAAATACAATTTACACTCAGAAAGTAAATGTTCTCCTCATGTGCACCAAACCAAAGAGAATCTAAATTAAATGAAAAGTATGAATGACTACCTTCCATAGATAAAAATACTTTTTTTTATTTCTTTATCCATTCTGGATAAAAAGAACTATATTGGTGTCGATTCTGGCGTGATTCTCTAAACTTAAAACTAAATTTAACATTCACAGTCTCTCTTTTTCATTCTGTACAGAGAATGACAAGGAGATACTGCTGTCAAATTTAAGTTTAGGTTTAGAGAATCATGCTAGAATCGACACCAATGATACGAGATCCGGACATACAGTTTGTCTATAAAGTCGTGACATTAAATGATGGCGCCTCTAGTATGCATGTAGCAACCCTATACAGTCGGACCAAAATGAATTTGATACTAGCAATTCATTCAAGTAAAATAGGTAATTAAGACACACTATACAGTCGTATTTTGTTTCTGTTTTATATACAGGGCGTCCCACGGCTACCTCACACGGAGGGAAAGTTTACTGAAAGGAGACATCGTTTTTTTTTAATAGTAACTATAACTGCATTCACAGATTTTTTTAAAATCGCCTGCTACAACTGGAAATCAAACTCGTGAAAATTCGAAAAAATAAACACAACATGTTTTATAATAACCATCGAAAGGTATTAAGTTTTATATTTGATGGGCAATTAACATAAACAAAGTTGGAAATATAATTAAATATAATAGTTTTATTTGGTATTTACATAAAAGACACATAAGACCTAAATATATTTTTACAAGACAGCTGACAATGTCAACTACTCTCTTTTATAGTCATAGAGATCTATGAAGAGTGTAAAGACTCTTTATGACTCGTGGTATAATAAAGGCTGTCCTCTTAACATCCCCAGGACTTTTAGGGACTGATACAGTTCAAACCTTGGAGTCCAATTCTTTTACTTAGATCTCGCAGTCTTGGTCCAAAGAGAGGTTTTGTGAACATATCGGCGAGTTGCTTTTCCGAGGAAACTTGTTTCACAGATAGTTCACCCTTGGTGACACATTCTCTTATGAAAAAATGCTTGAGCTTTATATGTTTTGTTCTTTTATGATATTCGCAGGGAGGATTTTCTGATAATTTTATCGCAGATTCATTATCTACATATATGATAGGCTTTTCGACTTCTGTCAGTTCTTCTAAGAGTCCTTGTAGCCATATAGTTTCCCGGGCAGTTTCGGAGAGCGCTATAAGCTCAGCTTCTGTAGAAGATATGGCTACAGAAGATTGTTTCTGACTCTTCCAGAAAATTGGTCCAGAAAACAAGAACACCATGCCTGTAGTAGAGTGTCCAGTAACAGAGTCTCCACCGTGATCTGCATCGCTGTAGCAGATTAGCTTTCTGACTTTTTCATTTCTAAAGATTAGTCCGGTGTCCATAGTTCCCTTCAAATATCTTAGAATTCTTTTTACTTTTAAAATATCCATCTGCGTTGGATTTTCAAGATGTCTTGAAGCCATACTCACTGCATAGTTGATGTCAGGTCTTGTGGCGACCATTAGATATGCCAGCGCACCTACCGCTTGGCGATAAGGAAAGTTTATGTTGGTTCCTTTGTCATCATCCTCCTTCAAGGTTTTTACAGCAGGAGATGGAACGCTTTTGCAGTCAATCATGCCAAACCTTTCTAATATTTTCTTGGTGTAAGACCTTTGGTGTACAGTTATATCACCATCTTTAGATTTACCAATTTCGAGACCAAGAAAATAGCTGGCTGGTTTTGTTGTGATTTTGAACCGCTGCTTTAATTCCTTTATGAAATTAACGCCTGCTGCTTCACTACTTGACGCTACTAATCCATCGTCAACGTAGAGTGCAATTAGTACTTGGTTTCGTATATAAAGGCAAGGGTCATTAGTGCATTGTTTAAATCCAGATTCCACCAGATACTGCGATATACAGGTGTTCCAGCACAAAGGCGCTTGTTTTAGGCCATAAAGACTTCTTTTCAGCTTGCATACTCTCTCTGTGCAATCATTGAAGCCTTCAGGTTGGTTCATGTAGATTTCCTCTTTGACTGTTCCATTGAGAAAAGCTGTAGACACGTCAAATTGCTGTAATTTTAAATTTTGTTGTGCAGCAATCCCCAAAAGTGCTCTAATTGTGGTCATCCGGACTACTGGACTAAAAGTCTTTTCGTAGTCAATGCCAGGTTTTTGTGAAAATCCCTTGACAACTAGTCTCGCCTTATATCGTTCGATTGTACCATCTGGGCATCTTTTTATTTTATAAACCCATTTGCAGGGTAGTGCTTTTCTATTCTTAGGTAAGTCGACGAGATCCCAAGTATTCATTTCATTTAGCGAGTTCATTTCACTCTGCATGGCTTGTTTCCAACTGCTATATTCTTTGCTTTTCATAGCGTCTCTGAATGTCTGAGGTTCTTCCATAGCATCCTCATTTATAGCAGTTAAAACATAGTCCTCAAATCTTTTTGGTGGGACAATACGCGACCTGTCACGAAGATTTCTTCCATCCGATTCAACGTTAGTCGCCTCATTTAAAGAATCATTTCGTATATCTTCTATATTCTCATTTGTTTGAGTTTCCATTTGTGACTCTGTGTATTCATCATTTTCAATTTCTTCAGGACAGAGTATACCGGAACTATCAATCGTCTCATTTTGGACAAGTTGTTCTTCATCATTAGTATTTCTAGGTTCGCTGTAAATTTTTACTTCTTCCTTGAGTGTCCCATCAATTTCGGGGAAAGGATTACTTCTGCAAGATCCTTTGTCATCGTCATAGAACATTTTTCTTAAAACCCGTACATCTCTGGAAATTAAAATTCTTCTTTTGGATGGCACATAAATTCTAAAAGCTTTGGATACTTCTGAATATCCCACGAACATTCCAGGGATGGCTTTTGAAGCAAATTTTTGACGACCATTTTCTTTTATTAAGATGAAGCTTTTTTCACCAAATATATGTAAATGGTTTATGCAGGGTTTCCTTCCTACCCACAATTCAAATGGTGTTACTTGTCCAATACTTTGATTAATACTCCTGTTTGATAAGTAATTGGCTGTGTGAACAGCTTCTGCCCACAGATGTAATGGTGCTTTCGACTCTAACATCATACATCTTGCCTTTTCAATCAAGGTTCTATTTTTTCTTTCGGCAATGCCGTTTTGATGAGGGGTGTATGGTGCTGTCAATCTTCTTGATATACCATTCTCTTTCAGGAATATGTTAAAGTCTCGGTTACAATATTCTGTGCCGTTGTCACTTTGTAGGAATTTTATTTTATTTCCAGTAAAGTTTTCAACAATTTTCTTATATTCCTTAAACTTTTCAAGTACTTCATTTTTGTGTTGTATAAAATATATATAACAGTATCTTGAAAAATCATCAATGAATGTAACCATGTATTTATTTCCATTTAATGAAGCGGTTTTCATGGGTCCACATACATCGCTGTGTACAATTTCGAGTCGCTGATTGGTACGGGTAATTGTGCTAGACTTGCTAGGTATTCTACTTATTTTTCCTTGAATACAAATTTCACAATCGTCCAATTTGTTTTTATGGTCAAAATTTAACCCAATCAGTAAATTATTACTCAAAGCATGCTTCATGTTTTTCTCTGACATATGTCCTAATTTTCTATGCCATAATTGTATATCATCAGATTTGTTTTCTTTTGTCTGAGTAACATTAGCTTTTTCCCGACGATCAGTATTATTATTTTTGGTACGTAGATAATATAAGCCATCGTTAGATCTTTTAACGTTTATTTCAACATTGCGCTTTTTATCCTTTATGATTGCTCGTTCTTTAGTAAATGTTACAGTATGTCCAGCGTCAGTTAGCTTTCCGACTGATAGAAGGTTAGTACATAGACTCGGTACATAAAGAGCATTTGCTATGCCTATTAGTCCTTGTCTAGTCTCTATTTGGGCCAGACCTGATCCTTTGATTTCAGCCGTGTGCTCTTTTGATGCTAATTTTAATGTTTGATTCACATTTCTCATATTTGTAAATGGTTTATCTGAAAATGTCATGTGAGACGTGCATCCGCTATCCAATATCCAACCGTTTTTCATTTCTTGTTGATATAAAGAAAAACATGTAAAGTTATTCTTTTCCTTTTGATTTAAACTATTTTGTCTATAGTTTAAATTTTTCTTGTTGTTTTTGTTTTTATTTTTATACCAACATTTTTCTTGTTCATGTCCCTTTTTCTTACATATTTTGCAGAATGCATAAAATGTTTCTTCGACATTACTTGAACTTGTATTAGGTTGGATGTTTCTATTGCGAGCATCACTTTCTTCAATTATTTTAATTTTTAACTTTTCTGGACTTATTAGTGAGTCTTGCGATTCTATTGCAATTCTAAAATTCTCATAATCGTTTGAGAGGCTATATAGCATCATTATGGACAATAAGTCACTATTAATTTCTATATCTAAGTCTTTTAGTTTGTCTACCGTATCCATGAAGTCCTTCAAGTGTTCCCGAACATCTGCATCAATGCCTAGTCTAGTCAATATCAATTTCTTTAATAGAGTTGCTTTTCTGGCAGGCCCTTGACTGGCATATACACCTTTGAGTTTTTCCCAAACGTCTTTTGCGTGGAGACAGTTCTTTACTTCTTTTAATTCAGTTGATGAGATCAGTAACAGTAACTCGGCTTTCGCAAGTTCATCATTTTCTTTTTCAGTATCTGAATTCTCATCAGGATACTTCGTTACATATTTCCATAATTTGTTTTTTATTAAATATGCTTTTGCATGAATTACCCATGTGTCATAATTTTCTTTTCCAAGTGGAGAAATTTTTAAGATCGACATTTTCTTTCCTGTAAACGCTCTGCTACCATATTAAGTTTTATATTTGATGGGCAATTAACATAAACAAAGTTGGAAATATAATTAAATATAATAGTTTTATTTGGTATTTACATAAAAGACACATAAGACCTAAATATATTTTTACAAGACAGCTGACAATGTCAACTACTCTCTTTTATAGTCATAGAGATCTATGAAGAGTGTAAAGACTCTTTATGACTCGTGGTATAATAAAGGCTGTCCTCTTAACAAAAGGGTTAATCATAAGGA